GCATCTCCTCTTCTCTTGAACCCTCCAGAATTTCGAATTTGCGTCCTCGTAAAATTCGATCTTGAACTCAAATACTTTTTACAGTTCCCCAGGGTGGGAGTGTTTACCTTGCAAAAAAAGCTATTTCGCAATAGAATTTTCGGAGTTTCGTCCTTCTTCCAGTCGAATAGAGTTCTCGTAATCGTCTTTCGGAGATTTCAGTCCTTAACGGAGCGCCGGGATATATTAACATTTTGGATGCGTTGAATGGTTGGCAACTAGTCCAGGAGCTCTCTGAAGCGACGGGTCTTCCTGCTGCTGCTTCCTTCAAGCATGTCTCCCCAGCCGGTAGGTTTTTCTGTTCAGAATTGTTCACTTACTCGTGTAAAACACGCATTTCCGCTTGCAGGAGCAGCTATCGGCCTGCCTCTGAACGAATCCGAAGCGCAGTCGTGCATGGTCGCCGATCTGCCGCTTGACACGAGGAAGCCATCGTTGGCAGCAGCATATGCGAGAGCCAGAGGTGGGCTCTGCTCTTTCTCATTGGTAAGCCGTGTCTCTGAGGCCATCAGTCCGAGGTATCGCATTGCGATTATGGACGGATGGGACGGCAAGGACACGCGCTTCACTAATCCTTGTTCTTCAAACCAACAACTCATTCTACGATGTTGCGGTAATCAAGTGAAAGCCGAGAGACTCGATAGTATTTTCTTTGGAATACGTTGTGGGGGACCTCAAGGGACCACTGCCTGGCCTAAAAGTAATCAATCCGCATTTTATGTCTCAAATGCAATCCAACTTTCCAAACGACACTATGTAACGCCTGGCCGGCGATGATTTGCTTGCTGCGGACCTGGCTTTGCCGAACCAATTACATCCACATCACAGAACTTGCTGATCCATAGATGGGACAAATATTTGGGAACAGATAGGAGCATAACAGAGAATTAGCCATCTTCAATACTTAGCCGGCTCATATGAGAGGCTACTTGAGAAGCTCTGTCTCTGTTGGTAAGGGTGATAAATTGAGGGCATATTCTTGAAAACGGACTACTAAAAACTCAGTCCGAGGGAGACCATTTAAAAGTGGTTATAGATGGAGTACTGGGAGAAGAAAAATGCCGACGGAAGATGGGAACTAGTGCAAGGAGAAATACTCCCTCTTCGCTTAACTTAAGTCCATTTTTTTCGGTGTTCGCCTATGGGGGGAGGCGTTTTAGTCTGTTTGTTTCTTAAGTTCTGTCACCTTGGTGAGATATGTGAACTTTCGCGAAGCCGTACAATGCAGCAAGTTTCGCTGAGCCACCTTGGTGACACCTGTAAACTCGTGCAAACCTACAAAAGGTCATGAGCTTCATTACGTATGGCTGCATTAGCTTTACAAGAGTTCAAATGTCTACACGTCGATGGGAATTGAAAAGATGTGCTCCCCCTGAGGCAAACAGCGCCGTTTTTTGAGCCGTCCCTTCGAGGATTAAAGAACAGCAAAGCAGGCTGAAGTCATCAGAAGAGCTTAAGAGAAAGGGCGAATTTCATCGATTTTCTGGGAAGCGCTTCTGAATGTTTTGTTGCGAATGCTCACTACACTACTAATTTCACCATGATTTGAGACAATATCGACAGTATCCTGAACATCACAGTATCACAGAGTGTCACAGATGAGCAGTTTAAGTTCAAAATTCGCCCCACATTCTTGTGTCAGCTGTTGCTTGATGTAGTTTTCAAGGGGAGATTCAACGGCCCCTTAAATCCTGTTGTTCATTAACAAATTGAGGGGTATATTTTTCTGAGCATCGCGAAGATTCCTTGAACTTTCCGGTGTATCACAAAATAATGGATGCACCCAAAAAAATGGAAAAATCCTGACAATAAGAAAATCCCATATGAAGGGCAATGATCACCTGGTGGTGTGCTT